AGCACCCAGAGAGGGGACGGGCTTCCAGTCCAGGTCGGGGGGCAAAATGGCACTGGGCGCAGTGTTGCAGGCTCTGACGCGGGTGAGGAGCTTGGAGGTTCTGGGGCCCCAGTCGGGCCGCCGTGGGGGCTGAACCTCATCCTCCTCTACAGTCTTCAGCCTGCGAGTGGTGTCCAGCTGCTGACGGCCCGGGGCAAGGGCAGGCCAAGGAGAGGTCCTTCTCGCAAAGTTAGGAGGTTCCAGTCGCCCCGCCCCCTCCCGAGCCCGCGGTGCCCGTCCTGTAGTGTATGAGCTAGATCCGCCTTCCTGCCCGGCCCCGTGCGGCTTTCACCTGTTCCCGGGGAGGAGGGGGGCCCGGGGTCCTCAGGGCGCCCCAATCTCTGTTCTTGTCTTTCCTGATACCTGGCACGATCGCACGCCGCATCGTACGGCCTCTCGTCCTTTTCCGTGTAGGTGTTTACCCCTGTCCACCTCCCTCAGTGCTCCTTTTTGCTGCACCCAATAGCATTTTGTATGCGGTGTCTTCTGTCTCAAGGTAGTTCCCGATTTCCCGTCTGATCTCTCCTTTGACTCATTTGAACCATCGGTTAAGTGTGTTGGTTTCGCGTACTGACACACGTTCCAGTTTCTTTCCGTTGTGGTCAGGGAAGGTCTCGTATAATTTCCAGCTCCTTGGACTCCGTGTTGTAACTTCACCTGGGCTCTCCCCGGGGGCAAGTGCCCAGTGTGCTTGAACAGAGCATATGCTTGCGGCTGGTGGGTGGAATGTTCTGTCTATGTCTGTCTGGTCAGTTGGGTCTGTAGTGTTGTTCAAGTTCTCTGTTTCCGAATTGATCTTCTGCCTGGATGCTCTGTGAGGTATTGAAATCTCCTATCATTGTGTTGCTATTTCTCCATTTGGTCAATGTTTGCTTCATGTATTTGGGTGCTCTGGTGTTGATTGCATGTGTATTTATCATTGTTATATCTTCCTTATGAATTGCCCTTTTTATCATTACACTAGAGGCCCGGTGCACGAAATTTGTGCACTGGAGTATATATATATATATTTCTGGCTCATAAAGAGGAAGAGACTTCCTGTCATTCTTATCTGGTGATTATGTTTGTCCTTTTGAATCCTACACTAAAACAATTTGGGAGATGGGTTATCTAAGCAGACAAGCCTGCACCTGCCCGGGAGATGGTGACTTAGTAGTTCTGATATACACATATATATACATATATATATGTGTGTGTGTGTGTGTGTGGTGGTGGTGGTCGGAGTGGTTGGTGGTGGTGTGAGGGGGTTCCCCTCAGCCTGGCCTGCACCCTCTTGCAGTCTGGGACCCCTCGCTCCTTACTGCTTGGCTCCCTGCATCTGCCCCCTGGTGAGAGGGACCTAGGGAGCCTCCCAGGCTTGTCTGGCCTGTCTTGCCCAGTCCCTATCTGCAGGATCCCAGCAGCAAGCTAACCTAGTAGTTGGAGCATCTGCCCCCTGGTGGTCAGTGCACATCATAGAGAGCAGTTGAGTGGCCTTAGCATATTACGCTTTGATTGAACAGCCGACTGGACAACCAGACACTTAGCATATTGGGCTTTTATTATATAGGATAATGCCCTCCTTTATCTTCTGACAGGTTTTTTTTTCCCCCTGAGAGTTTTTTATTAAAAATCTGTGTTGTCTGAGATGAGTAGGGTCATTCTGCTCACTTTTGCATGGAATATGTTTTCCTCATCCTTTCACTTCAGCCCACGTGTATTCTTACATCTAAAATGAGTCTCTTGTAACAGCATATAGTTGGGTCTTACTTATTATTTTTTTCTAAATCTTCACCTAAGGACATCCTTATTGACTTGAGAGAGAGGGGAAGGAGAGAGAGAGATACGTCAATGGGCGAGAGAAACATAGATCGGTTGCCTTCTCATACGAACCCTGACCAGGGATTGACCCTGCAGCCTTTCCATGAACGGGTCGATGCTCCAACCAACTGAGCCACACTGGCCAGGGCAGTTGGATCTCGTTGTTTTATCCATTCGGCCACTCGATGTATTTTGGTTGGGGCGTTTGATACATTTCTATTTAAAAAGCCAGGAGTTGGGGTTTTCTCCTGCTCATTCTATGCTGGGCCAGGGGCGGGGGCCATGGTGGGGGAGTGTGGGCCAGCCCAGACCCTTGCCTTTGTTCTCGACAGCACCCAACCTGGTGCCATCTCCTGCGAGCACTGAGGTTCAGAGAGAACAAACACTAGCCAGTCTGGCGGCCCCCCGGGAGGTCGGCACGCGGGCCGTATGTCTCGGGCTCCCCTTTCTCTCCTGGGGGAGACGCCAGCAGCTGAGGACTTTCTTCAGTCGGACCAGGCTGAGCCAGGGGGCGGGACCGAGATGAATGACTGCCATGGCGTTTCCTTCCCGCTTTGATGCAGCTGCTCTGTGCTTGCCCGGGGTTTGGGAGCCTCTTCACTGGTTTCAGGATTTCTCTTAAAGGGAACCGGTCCGTGTGTTACGGAGTTGATGGTTTCCGGGAGCAGGAGAGTGTGGGGCTGCCTGTCCTGCCATCTTGCTGACATGAACACCTTCTCATGGCATCGTGGTAGGCGTGGCCCTTCTCTAGATTGGGAGCCCTTGGAGGATTAGGGTCCATGCCGTCACTGCATGCTCACATTTTTTTTAAAATATATTTTATTGATTTTTTACAGAGAGGAAGGGAGAGAGATAGAGAGTTAGAAACATCGATGAGAGAGAGACATCGATCAGCTGCCTCCTGCACATCCCCCACTGGGGATGTGCCTGCAACCCAGGTACATGCCCTTGACCAGAATCGAACCTGGGACCCTTCAGTCCGCAGGCTGAGGTTCTATCCACTGAGCCAAACTGGTTTCGGCCATGCTCACATTTTAACACGGTCAAGGGACAGTGCGTCGGGGGAGCACGTAGTCTGCTGAAGGACTTCTGGACGTGCACTGGTCAAGAACGCGTTGGCCGTCAGGCTGGCTTTCGGGTCTGACTGCAGTTACTGTCGTAGGGACCCCGGTCCGTGTTCTCGCCTCCCTGAGCCGGGGCCTCTAAGCTGTAACATGGGGCCAGTCTCAGCGAAGCTTCTGGAGGACTGGCTGAAATCCGACGCGCTTGGCGCCCAGTGCGTGTAGAGGGTGACGGGGCCGGATGCTAAAAAGATGTCTGTGGTCTGTTTGTTTCAGGTGCTTGCTCTGTCCAGGCGGCACCTTGTGTCTCCTTTGCCCAGCGTGACGTCCTTCGGCCGTTTCTACAGAGGCGACAGCCCGTCAGATTCCCAGAAGGATATGATCGAAATCCCTCTGCCTCCGTGGCAGGAGCGACCCGATGAGCCCATAGAGACCAAAAGGGCCCGCCTGCTGTATGAGAGCCGGAAGCGGGGCATGCTGGAGAACTGCATCCTGCTCAGGTGGGGGCGGGGCTGGGGCCATTGCTCTGTGGCTGGAGACGACCGGCCTTTTAACTTCTTCCTCTCTCTCTCTTTCTCTCTCTCGTTTTTAGCCTCTTTGCTAAAGAATATCTGCACCAAATGACAGAGAAACAGCTGAACCTGTATGATCGCCTGATTAATGAGCCCAGTAATGACTGGGATATTTACCACTGGGCTACAGGTACGGGGGGAGGGGGAGGCAAGCTGAATGTGAAAAGTAGGGTGACTTGGGCTGATTTGAGTCTGGGGTTATATCCTAGGCAATTCCCCCACCCCCCCTTTATTCGTGCAAATAGACATTCACCAGACACTTCATTTTTCCAAAGTGTGTAACGTTTGTCTGCTTAGTTCAGGTTCTTTGTGTGCAAACAGCAGACACCTACTCTGTGTAACGTAAGCAAAAAGGGGATTTAGTGAGACTGTACAGGTCTCCGAGGCAGGTTGAGGAAAGACTCAGCTGGGACTGGAGTGGAGCCAGAAACGGACATCTCGCTCGTTCTCGCACCCTCTGGGCCTTCTGTGTCTTTGTTCCCACCCAACGTGCGTCACAAAACAGGAGCCGCTCTGCAGGTCCATGTCTCCTCTGTTCTGACAGATCTCCTCGGTACTCGTTCTATCTGTTAGTAAGAGAGGACCGTATAATCTCCATCCGTAATTGTGGATTTATTACTCCTTTCAGTTCTCTCAGTTTTTCTTCATAGATTTTGAAGCTCTGTTATTATGTGGAGACATATTAGGATTGTTATATCTTCTTGATGAATTGACCCCTTTATCATTATACTAGAGACCTGATGCACAAAATTCATGCAAGAATAGGTCTTCCTTCCCCTGGCTGCTGACACCGGCTTCCCTCTGGCACCCGAGACCTGGGCTTCCCTTGCAGCCCCGGCTTCGTCAGGAAGGTTGTCTGGAAGGATGTCCAGTCTAATTAGCATATTACGCTTTTATTATTGTAGATAATGCCTGTCTTTATTGCTGATAGTGTTCCTTGTTCCAAAGTATCTGATCGTAATTTAGTCACTCCACGTGCTTTTGACGAGTGTTTGCATGGTATGTTTTTCCATCTATATTTCTGTTATGTCGTAAATTAACACAAACTTAGTGACTTTATTTTTGAAAATTTATCTTTATTGTTCAAAGTATTACAGATGTCCCCTCACCCCCCCCCTCATTGACACACTCCACCCCACCACTCCCACAAACTTAGTGACTTCAAACAGCCCCTGTCTGTTAGCTCAGAGCTGTGCCCAGATCTCAGTCTGGAAACCCATTCAGGTTGTAGGACTGACGTCCCCATGGTCCTGTGAGTTGTTGATCTCTTTCAGCTCTGGAAGCCACTCTCAGATCTGTGCCCTGTGGCCCCTCCAGCCCAGCAGTGGAGCCTCCCTCACAGGAATCCCTCTCAGGCTTCAAAGCTACCCTGTTCCCCCTTCTGTCACCTCCTGGGGAAAACGCTGCTTTTAATAGAGCTCATGTGATGAGGTCAAAACCACTTGGAAAAGTTCCCTGTCCCAAGGCCAACTGTGCCGCAGCGACATGACCGGGCGTGCTCACAGGCGGGGATTTCACAGGCCGTGTGCACCGTTCTTTTACTTTAAGTTGAGCCTCTTGCAGACAGCATACTTAGTCTTTATTTTTTGTCCAGTCTTATCATCTCTATCTGTTCATTGGTATGTTTTGGTCATTTACATATAATTAATTATCAATGTGATTGCATTAAAATTTACCATCATTTTGTTTTCTATTTCTTCCATCTGTTCTTTGTTCCTTTTCCCCTCTATTTCCATGGGGTTTTTTAAATGAGTATTTTAAATTTTACTCCACTTTTGCTTTATTATTTATACCTCTCTTTATAATGTTTTTAGTGATTGCCCTAGGGTTGGCAGTCTACATCTTTAATTAATCACAGTCTACCTTCAAGTAATATTATAGTACTTCATGTATAATGTAAGAACTTTACAGTAGCACACTCCAATTCCTCCCTCCCATCTTTTGTGCTATTGTTGTCATACTTTCTATTTTTACTTATGCTGTAAGCCTACACTACATTTCTGTTGTTTTACTTCAGACAATTATCTACAGAGCAATTTAAAATAAGGAAAAGAATAGCATATACATATATAAAAGTTAAAACATAGTATCTTATATGTAAATACATGGATAATGTAATATGTAACATTTATATAATATATAATTTCATTATCCTATATCATAAGAGGCTAATATGCAAATTGACTGAATGGCAGAATGACCAGTTGCTATGACATGCACTGATCACCAGGGGGCAGACGCTTAATGCAGGAGCTGCTCCCTGGTGGTCAGTGTGCTCCCACAGGTGGTGTGCTGCTCAGCTCAGCCAGAAGCCGGGCTCACGGCTAGTGAGCGCAGCGGCAGTGGCGGGAGCCTCTCCCACCTCCGCGGCAGCGCTAAGTTCCGGAAGCCAATTCCAGACAGCAGGGCTGAATCGAGTGGCTGAAGGGCATTTCCCCAAACCTGAAAAGGATAATTGTTGCTGCCAGACAGCTAAGGGCATCTTAATCTACATGTTATTGCCTCCTAAACACCTGAACAGCCGAAGGCAGTTTCTCCAAAACCTGATAATCTGACAATGGCCTCTGTATACGAAACCTGACCCTTTGATGTGTACAACTCCGCCTCACCTTAGGACAAATTGTGTTAATAAAAAGCAAGGGGTCCTGAGATGAGGAGATCTTAGTTTCTTTAGCTAGGCTCCTCTGACCCCCAAATGCCTTTCAAAATTATGTTTCGTCTCTGGACTCTTAAGTTACACGCAGCCCTTCTCCAGATTGCTGAACCCCTTCTTAATGCCGGAACAAGAACCCCGGCAGCTAAGGACCCCGAGGGGGATGTCCGCCTGCCGGCTTAGGCCCGCTCCACGCAAGACGGCACAAGCCGGGCTGAGGGACCCCACCCAGTACACAAATGTTGTGCACCAGGCCTCTAATATTTTATATTACCTTATTTTAATCATCTCTGAGTTCTTCATTTCTTTATGTAGATCCATATTTCTATCTGGTATCATATTCCTGAAGAATTTCCTTTAATATTTCTTGTAGTGTAGGTCTGCTTTTGGCATTTTTGAAAGATATTTTCACTGGATATAGGATTATAGGTTCACAATTTTCCCGCACATGATACGGGCACACTTTTTGCTAGGCTGGAGAACTGAGTCAGTCTGTTCAGTTGAGCTGGATTTGGGTTGTTGTTGCTTTGGTCACCTTGTACCACCAGCTTCAAATCCCCTTAGTGTTACCATGTGCCATTTTCTGGTCTGCCTGGTTTTTGGCATGGCGTCTGCTGTGTCTTTGTTCCTTTGTATCTTTTCTTTCTGAATGTTTCCAGCATTTTATCTTTGGTTCTAGCAGTTTGAACGTGATATGCTAGATGCTTGTGTTTGGTATTTATCCTGCTTTGGGTTCTCTGGGCATGTTCAGTCTAACCAATTACACTTACGGTAGGTTAGACTGTTGAGTATTATTTCTTAGTTTTTGGATTGTTCTGTCTCTTACTCTTTTTTTTTATGCATCAGTTTGGGTAATTTGCGTTGGATAATATCTATGGACCTATCCTCAGTTCACTATGTCAGATCTCAGGATGGACCTGTTGAGGTCCTTCTGCTTATTTGCTTACTTTTATTTATTAAATATGTTTTTATTGATTTCAGAGAGAGAGGAAGGTAGAGGGAGAAAGAGAGAGAAACATCGACGTGAGAGATAAACGTCGGTTGCCTCTCACACGCGCCCCAGCACCCTGACCGGGGACCGAACCCGCAGCCCGTGCACGTGCCTTGACCAGTGACCCCTCAGTGCATGGGACAACCCTCCAGCTGAGCCCTACCGGCCAGGGCTGCTTGCTTTTATTTTTAACCTTCCCCTTTCACTTTTGCAGTTTCCACCTGTGCTGGAGTTCCTCTCCGGTTCATCCGTTTGTGTCTCCTTTTTCCACTAGGGCAGTGGTTCTCAACTTCCTGGCCCTTTAAATACAGTTCCTCATGTTGTGACCCAACCATAAAATTATTTTTGTTGCTACTTCAGAACTGTCATGTTGCTACTGTTATGAATCGTAATGTAAGTATCTGATATGCAGGATGGTCTTAGGCGACCCCTGTGAAAGGGTCGTTCGACCGCCAAAGGGGTTGCGACCCACAGGTTGAGAACCACTGCACTAGGGCCTTTAACATGTTAGTCATAGTTGCTTTAAATTCCCTAAGAGTCTAACATCTGGGTCATCCCTTGGTCTGTTTCTGTGGATTGCTTTATCCCTTGACTGTGTGTGTGTGTGTGTGTGTGTGTATCTCCTCATTGTGTGTTGAATGTTAGACATCGTGAGTAAGACCAGGAAGACTGAGGTCGGTAGTACTTGTGCCTAGAAGTGGCCTGTGTGTGTCCGGCTGTTAGCAGGGGGGTCAGTCGGGTGAGGAGGGAAGCTCACTTTGGACGTATTGTTGCTTGGCTCCCCTCGGTGCACCACCAGCCCGACTGTGCTGGGCGGGGACGGAACTTCCGGGGCGTTTCTGCAGTGCTGCTGTTCACCCTCCGCTTCCAGCCTTCCTTGCATGTCTGTGCCTCAGAGGGAGTCTCTCCCTGCTCTTCCCTCCCACTAGAGCCTGCTGCTCTCTACTTGGTGCTTGTTAGTGTGGGGTGTGGGCGGGGGGAGGGCCTCTGTGAGCCCCGCCCAGCTCAGTCCCTGTGGCCCTGGGTCTGAGGGGCAGGCCTGCTCAGCGACCCACCTGCCCACCCCCCAGGGGAGGACTTGCTTTTCCTTTACCCTCCCATCAGCCCAGACGGGTCCTCATATGCCCAGGGGAGACAGGGTTTGCTCACCTGCTCCCGGGAAGGCACGCCTGGCCGGGCCTCATGCTTTCTTCCCCGTGGGGTCTGCTCCCTCCTCTGGGCCTGCGTCCTTGAGGGAGGCTTTCTCTCCAGCCTCTCGTCCTGCAGGCTTGTCAGGAGCATCCTCGGGTGAGAGAACCTGTCCGTGGGTGGGAATCCCCTGCGTCCGTGGGTGGGACTCCCCTGCGTCCGTGGGTGGGACTCCCCTGCGTCCGTGGGTGGGACTCCCCTGTGTCCGTGGCGAGTGCACAGCGGCTGTTAGCGGCTCATTGACGTTCAGCCGAGGCTTCGCCCTGTTTGTGTCCTGCCCGGTGCCTCTTCTGTGCTCGGGCGCAGGTCCCCGTCTCCTGGGGGCCCCATAGGTTTCACTGCCCTCGGGGTCTGTGACCTCAGCGCCCATGGCCTCACGAGGACGCGGGAGTCCAGTCCACCAGCTTCCTGTTAAGGGGGGGGTGCAGTGCTCTTTACCACCGTCACCCCTAGGGGCCCGAGCCCCTCGATCTTACTTTGATCAGAAACCCCGAGGCCTGGCCCGGGTGCTGGGCCCTGTGCTGAGGGGACCAGACTCGGTGTTGAGGAATGCCCTCCTGGCGGCGTGTTAGCCTTGGAGGGAGAGTGATTCCCGCACATAGTACCGCAGCTTCCCGGGGGGAGACGGGGGGAGGAGGGGGCCTTGCTTGTCTGAATCTTGAGGGTCTCGGGGCGGAAAGAAAGGTTGGAGGTGAGCCGCGCCCTGCCAACCACCCCCTAGACTGAGGCTGGCCTCCTCATGTCTGCTTTCCATGCCTTGGTCCCTTCCGATCTGCCTCCGCGGGTTCATGTCCGCTTTGTGGGCCTCCCATCGCCTTCCAGCGAATCCCTTTTTGCTTAAGTGACTTGAGTTGCTACTTTCTGTCACCTACAACCAAGGACCGTTGCCTCAGGAAGTTTATAGACTAGAAAGGAAAACACAATCACCGAGAACAACGGAAATACCAAATGCAGGGCAGACTGGTGCCGTGGAGGTGGGACAGGCGGGTGCAGACCAGACGGTAAAGGTTTCAGCCTCGCGGCCATCCGGTGTCCGCTGCACCGGCTCTGCCGCCGCGGAGGCAGGTCGCCCAGCCGAGCAGCGGCCCCAGGCTAGGCCCCAGCCAAGCTTGTCGCGGGCACCCGCGGCCATGCCTGCGCTGCCGGCTGCACCCCCGAGGCTCCAGGCCCAGGCGGCGTCTCCAGGTTCACGGCCCTTCGCTAACTGCTGACTGACTGACACGGGTCGCTCTGCCCGCTCTTCTCTTGCAGAAGCAAAACCGGCGCCAGAAATATTTGAGAACGAAATCCTGGCGCTGCTGAGAGACTTCGCGAAAAACAAGAACAGGGAGCAGCGGCTGCGCGCCCCGGACCTCGAGTACCTGTTCGAGGAGCCGGGTGGGCGCTGAG